AATACATCGGAAACACATAGTTACGATTTTTTTTCAAGGGAGGACGTCTTTCCAAAGGTTTACCGTTTCATTAAACCTCAGGTTCCCCTACTACGCGAAAACACTTTCGTAACATGTACTATTCCTATGATTATACTGTTGGGGAAAACCTCTACCGACGAGGTGGGTGCGGGAGGGGGGGGGGAGGGTCCGTAGGCAATCTTTAAAAGTTAATATCTCATTAACTATATCGCTCAAATCGCAAAATGGAACAGGACTTTTCAAATTAGTTAAGTCCGCTCTACCTGCGCATGTAATTTTTAACGGTCGTATAGGATACCCTGTATTTGCATGATTAAAATAACTATAAATACATAGCTGTCCCAAAAAATTACTATAAGACCCGTATTTTTAGTTGTTTCTCAAATCTCATCTCAAGAGCGTATCAGGTAAGACATTCAGAATGGAATCGATATCGAAAATATCGATTAAAGTTATGTTTTTCACCTGTTTAAAAATAACCTTTCTGAAATCAAGTTATTGTCGATGTGATACATGTACATACATAATATGATATAAAAATGGAACAAGCTAATATATTTACATAAAAAAAAGAATTTCACTATTTTTCACTACTTTTTTAAAGGTTTATTAATACGTGTTACGAGTTCTTGTTTCAAAATTCGACTATTGAATCTGAAAAAGAGTATTCAAGTTATATCTCGAGGTAAATTTTATTCAAGTTCCTCATTTGAGTCATAATTACAAATGTGAAGTAAATCAACTCTCAAGATTCGTCTGTTGAACTGTTTCAAAATTAGTTTCAGTTGAGTTTCTTAGCAGAAATATGACTATAAATACGGGCTTAAATTCTAGTTAAATGACGATATAATTGTAATCATTTTTTTCTCTCAAAAATGAATTTATCTGCCGCATTAATCGCACAACTTTGCAGGGTGATTATTGCATGCCGACTCGTCAGGGACAACAATCCGCGATACATTGTGCCGACAATAAAATCACTAATCCGTCGATAAATGCATTTGAATTGAGGCCAACTATTTATAATTCCATCGGGATGCTTCCAGCTGAGTTATAGCCGCGTACGGCACTGTATACTCGCGCGATCGATTAACATACACGTATGTGTAACGCCACAAAACTTGAAATATAATTTTTTCCTGTTCGCTTAAATTATCCAATTCAGTATATTTGCGATACATCGTAATATTTTATTAAAGTACTCGAGTAATTGAATCTGTTTTGTACGATAATTGGTAATTACAGTACGTGTTGTGACGTAATATTTACGCAACGCAAATATCGAGGGTCTCGCAAATGAGTTTGCAACGACAATAATAAGGATAATAACAGGATATTTAATTGCTTCTCATTAATTATGCAATTTTCATCGATTCAAAATCGTTCATTACCTCTCTGTTCGTTCTTCTCATCACTTGTTTATTTTTTATCCTCGAATCTTTTGCGATCAAATTGCATAAATGTATTACACGCACTGTTTCTATAACCAGAATTACCAAGATACAAAATATGTTATTTACGCAGCAAGGGTGCAACTATGATATCGAAAAATATCTACTTATTTTTATAATCAATACTTGAAACGAACCAAAAAAACTGGTAGATGAAAGGAGCGGAGCAGTTGGCATAAAAGGCATCTATCTTTAGAAATTTTATTTCGAGCTTCTCTCCTTTGCACTCATAATGGTGATTGGCCGCGAAAACAGCACGGCCAACACAGTTTCCGTCGCCGTGCGTTTCCTCGCGTGCGTCTCGAGGGAAAAAACATATATACACGCACGTGAACCATGAAATTATGCGGTGAAATCGATCGATTTTTCAGACAATCAAACGGATGTAAATTACAATTTCAAAATCGTCATTAAAATGTATGAACTTTCGCGACGACAACGATAGTATGAGAGCACTATGGTCTGAGAAAAGGGCAAAGGACAAAATATTTGAATTCAAAATCCACAAAATCTAAAAAATGTTTCTGACAAAAAGTGGAAAGAAATAATTAATAAAAACAGAATCTCTCAAAATAACACTTGTGACATTGCACGGCAATATCATATAAAAATTAAAACAATCAATATTTGAGTAAAAAAAAGTGTCAGAAAATAGTATATTTATTTCGCATATCAATAAGATATATGTCATTTTAATGTCAATTGGTTATTTTAAATTTTGTAAAAAATAATTAATTACTATGTTTATTATGCATATTACATTATGTATTCGCATAAAGATAGTATTTACGTTTTTAGAATTAAAATAGCAGAAACGTAATATATATTACAATAACTAATACGTTGAAAATGGCGAATAAGAGTCAATCTAAATCTGATAATATATTCTAATATTCTATATATTGCGAAGAATATCACGTAATGTTTGGCGTTTCGTCCCGGCTTCCACTACTGGACTCATCAGTGAGGTATTGTAGTGGAAGCCTACCTTAGACGCCGGTGTAAGTTATTAAATCGAGATTCTATATAAAGAGATATACGCGTGTCTCAGCACTTGCGAGAATTTGCGAATATCGATAGACCTCTGATGGCGGGTCGACGTAGTAATATTCTTCGCAATATTTATCCAAAGTGAGAAATAACGTTCTATTAATATATATTTTTATCTCACTTGTTTGTAGTTGTTACAAAGCATCAATAATCATGACCACTCGTATTTTTTTAATTTTGGTTTAAAATCAAATTGCGATGGAATTGTTTTCTGTTATTATTATTCGAAATGGACACAGATCATCAAACTCGAAAGATCGTACGAAAAATTTACGCGCTGGTCGAAATTTAAATAGTAGCTGTCCTTCGTTCGCTCCTTAGCACTTTGTAGCCATAAACGGCGCGAATTCTTGCTGATCGATCTTTTCTATGTCAGCTATAGAGTTGCGATCACGGGTTTTTTCCATCACTGAAAATATAATGCGCGTCAATACATTCTTTTGCGAGATTGGACGAACGGTTACCAATCGTAAGAGATTGTATTTAGGTGTTCGTCTATTCATGATAACAAATAAATATCTGTTATAAATTTGCGTCACAGTTTTGATGTATTGATGTGCAATTTATGGTTCAATACGACGCCTGCTTTTTTTAAATTACGTGTGACGAAATTAGCGAAATAGTCAAGGTTAATTTATTGTTTACAGGAGAGTCCAATAGAGCACCAATCGTGGTTCTTGGTTAAGACGCAGTATTGCTGCGGGTAAGTTTTTTTTTGTATTGATTCTTCATTAGCGATTCGTGTGTTTTGTGATGTAAGAGATACCGTATTTCTATACATAATCACACTCAGCGTTTTTACTTTCTTTGTGCTTTAAAAATTTACTCGGAAGCAGGTTTGAGGAAATTTAGACTTGTTCAGAAATACTGCATAAAATCATTGTACAATATTATATATAAATCATATAAAATTTTGCATCCAGCTTCTCAGTAAGAATTTTAGAATTTTTTGAAAAATACGTAATGTTCATTAATGTTAATTATGTAACGCATGAAAAAAATTACGTTTTGTTATTGAAAGATTGATGTTTCATATTTAAATATGACTTAGGTGACGATAACGTGAGAAATAAGATATACAAAATACGTATAATGACACAAAGAGAGATTTCATTAATGTCACAGAATAGCTAGCATTACGTAAATACATCGTCAAATTAAATAGAAAGCTGGGGAGGGAAGGTAAATAACATCTGCAGAAACTCTTGCGCGATACCTATTTAATTGTTACGTTACAATTCACCGATATAGCTTTATGCAACAATATTCGATATAAATAATACTCTACGGCGCGGAATTATCACAAAAGCTCGCCACGTGCAGGTGATACGCGCGCAACGTGAAGCCGTTACACGAGGTATGTGATCACGTTGCGTCGCAGCATCAATGGCTACGTTCAGCAAGCTCAATTTGTTTCCAACATGTTACGACAACTGACGACAACTGAGTGTGAGCGGTTATCAATTACTGAACGATTCTCTTAAGTCACTTATATCATCTGTTTACTGTGGTATGACTTTATTTAAATTAATTTGTCATTTTCGTCGTTCGTATTGTTTATTCGGTGAACATGGATTTATTATTATACATTGAATATTAATTATAAAATAGTTGACTTTTGGCCACTTTTTCGGGTTTCTATCCCACTGTGCATTGGTAGCAACAGTCTTAGCAACCCCTCGGATATTCGTATATTGTTAAACGAGACGCAGAGTTGAGATTTCGGTTTCGGCTGATTAACTCTCATATTTCGTTTATTAGACAAAACAAGGAAAATAAATGACACAAAAAAGATCTACGTCTAAATGCGAAGCGCAAGGATAGTTCCAACTACATAGTTCCTGGATTGTTCGTTCGAGTGTCGACTGACTAACTGACTGACTAAAAGAATGATGAATTTTCTTCTGACAACTGACTGACCATTTTCCTGCTTTTCGCAGCTCTTTTATACTTAAAAATGAATGTGGGAGTGTCCTTTCAGGACCAATCAAGACTCTTCAGAATTTGGTGGAACCTATGCTCGCGCTTGTTTTCTCACGATAAGGGAGCAGGGCTCCGCCGCGTAAGCCCTACTCCTAGCTCTACGAGTTTAAACCTAATAAATAATAGTTGGAGGTTTTAATAATTTATAATAAAAACTCGGTCCTCCTTAACTAATCATCCTTACATGAGGCGAATCTATTACTTTTTGAATATATCAAGATTAGTTCAATTTTATTGGAAGAAAAATGAAGAAAGGAAAAAAAGATATTCGTCCTCGCGTTCGGAAGATCTGTTGTTAATTACTAAGCGCTAATCTGTGTTATTACTAAAAAGAAAAAAATACAATGTTATATTATGCGTTATTATATAATAGTATTAATATGTGCGTTATATTATTTTATAAAAGAGATTCTTACGCATTCCTTAAGATGACGCATAAGAGTATACGAACGTGACGTATCTTAACTAAATATTCCTTTCAGGTTTAGGGAATATGACGAGGTTCCGAAATAAAGGTAAGATATCGAAGCGAAAATAGAATGCTAGATAAAAGTAACATATGTTTATGAATAGGAGAAGGAAATCTACTGGGATGTAATACGCATTGAAGATTGAGATTAAAAATTGAAAGATTGAATTTCGGCTAATCAAAATAATAGGAGTTAAAATTTCTTTATCCTCATTGGTCAAATTTCAATTTTCAATCTTCAATCTCAATTTTCAATGCGTAGTCTGATTCCGGCTTAAGGTCGTTTTGATCTTGTAAGCTAACACCTGGATGAGAGTGATAATACCGCACACGAATTAACGGGACGAAATAACGTTGAGATATGCTTGTGACCTCGATCTTCATTTGAAGACTGTGGGCGATTTGCTTTTTTGATCGTGTATAAATCTTGATGTGTAACCGCACGAGAAAATGCGAAGAACGCCCGTTGCCATAAACGTAGGGGAGATTTTCATTACCGCAATCGATACCACAATCTTTCGTGCGTTGAATGATAGCCTTGACTGCAAAGTATCGTTGAGCGTATCATATATATACATCCCTATTTACGCTCCGAGCTTACGCATTGAAATTTTTCCTTAGGTAAAGCTGCAGTGTAAAAAAGAAGGGTGTTATGTTGTGTGTGTCAGGACTTAAGGCTTCACCACGCCGCGTGACAATGAAACTTATGAAACCCACGAAATTACGGGGAACCTGACGCGAATCCTGATTCCGACGGCGAAGCGGCGCGACGGAACGAGAATGCTCGTTTCGAGCAAGAGGAGCACTCGGGGTCTGATTCCCACCCTCTTTCTTCGTTATTCTTTCCCCCTTCCTCCCGTCTCTGCTCGCCATCGCTCGTTCGTTGCTTGAGGAATTGGGCGGAGAAAAACGTTTCTACGAACACATCTTCAGCCCTCGAGGCGCAACGCATTTTTCGAGATAGATGTTTCTCCCATTTTGTTCTTCTCATTTAGTCCGCGATCGACAAAACCAATTCAGGAGAACGTTGTCGAATACCACTTGAGCTATTTTCTTTTTTATTACATTCTCCATTTGGTACTGATTCGTATGCAAATGAACATTGAAAATTGTTCATTCGCTTGATATTTCGGATACTTATTATATGTTCAACTTTTTATTAAGAACAAATTAATTTGTTATGAGTGTTTTTGTAATACGCTACAAAAGTATGATTTGCATTTTAGGTAATCGATTGCCTAAAAAGGAAAGTATTGAATCTGAATCTATGAACAAGAAATCAATTAAAACTGCGTTATAAGTTAATAAAACAAATCTTTAATTGTTACGTAATAATTATAAAAATATCTAATAATTTTTAATAATTTATCAATAAAAGATCAAGTATTTAATAATTATTAAATCACAATAATGAAAAGACCACAACGTCCAAGTAAAACCGCTTATTTACTCTTTTGCAATTGACATTTGTATTTATATTAACTATTGTTGTCAATTATCCAGTGGACCCCTATTAAACTGGACCCCCCCACCAGCGAAAATAGAAGTGGCAATGGGTGAAAAATTTAGTGCTTTTTAGTTGCTAATTAGTTGACCAAGAATTAATTTAGTTGCTCCAGCCGTTTAGCAGCATTTAAAAAAAAAGGGGTGGGTCCAGATTAATATTAAGCTGGACCCCTCATAATAAAAATAATAGATACAGTACCGCTACAATGAAATAAACCACACCAGATTTAGTTGCTATTTAGTTGCTCCAAGATAGTATCGAAAATTAATATTTTTAACGCAAAAATCAATATTTGCGAGCGCGTCACAGGAACCTAAACGGACCGCGACGGGCTGCAAGTTTCACTACGACCAAACGAAAATTATTCGGTCATATAACATTGTTACTAAAAAAATACTTAATGAAAGTACTACCAAATCATAATAAAACATGAATTAGTTGCTAATTGCAAAGTATGAAAAACATCGTGTTTATCAAGGACATTCCGCGCGGCGTTTCATGTACTTTCCTCTGTCTCCACACACGTGCCAGATTTAAGCGGGGAGCACAGACTTTTGCATAACGCATAAAGCATGTACATAAAGAATTTGATTGGTCCATTGACTCATGCATAAGAAAATGGACCAATGAAATTCCTTATGCACATGCTTTATGCGTTATGCAAAAGTCTGTGCTCCCCGCTTTAGTTGCTCGCATAAATATGGTATCTACGTAATCGTGGGATCACGTACTATCGAAAAAAACCGAAACTCGATTTAGTTGCTCGTTGCAACAAGTCTGAAACCGCCGAAACGTGAACGGCGGCTGCCCTCCTATCACGACGCTGCGTTCGCTTCGCGCCAGCTGATTTTTCGTTCCTGCATTGTGTCAAGAATTAGTTGCTCGCATAAATATGGTATCTTCGTAATCGTGGGATCATGTACTATCGAAAAAAACCGAAACTCGATTTAGTTGCTCGTTGCAACAAGTCTGAAACCGCCGAAACGTGAACGGCGGCTGCCCGCCTATCACGACGCTGCGTTCGCTTCGCGCCAGCTGATTTTTCGTTCCTGCATTGGGCTATGTGAAGTTGGCCCCCTACTATTGCAAATCTAAAAATGACCATGACCATTCGTTTGGTGGTCGTTTGGTGGTGTTTGGTAGTCCGTTTCGGACGTTTGGTAGTCAAAGATATAATGAGAAATGTCAAAAAAAGAAGAACGCGCGTGAAGTTAGCCCCCCCATTTCTAAAACTCGGCTTTGCAGACTGCAAATGCAATAATGGCTGTAAGCATTCGTTTGGTAGTCGCTTACTGAGGTTTGGTAGTCCATTCCCGACGATTAGTAGTCGAAATCATAACCGGAAATATTAAAAAAATGATATACGCGCGTGAAGTTAACCCCCCTATTTTTAAAACTCGGCTTTGCAGACTACAAATGCAATAATGGCTGTAAGCATTCGTTTGGTGGTCGCTTGCTGACGTTTGGTAGTCCATTCCCGATAATTGGTAGTCGAAATTATAGCCGAAAATATCCAAAAAAGGATATATGCGTGTGAAGTTAGCCCCCCCATTTTTAAAACTCGGCTTTGCAGAATGCAAATGCAATAATGGCTGTAAGCATTCGTTTGGTGGTCGTTTACTGACGTTTGGTAGTCCATTCCCGATGATTGGTGGTCGAAATTATAGGCGAAAATATCAAAAAAAGGATACATGCGTGTGTTAGCCCCCCCATTTTTAAAACTCCGCTTTGCAGAATGCAAATGCAATAATGGCTGTAAGCATTTGTTTGGTGGTCGCTTACTGACGTTTGGTAGTTCATTCCGGACGTTTGGTAGTCAAAGTTATAATGAGAAATGTCAAAAAAAGAAAAACGCGCGTGAAGTTAGGTCCCCCATTTCTAAAACTCGGCTTTGCAGACTGCAAATGCAATAATGGCTGTAAGCATTCGTTTGGTAGTCGCTTACTGACGTTTGGTATAGACCATTCCCGATGATTGGTAGTCGAAATTATAACCGGAAATGTCAAAAAAATGATATACGCGCGTGAAGTTAGCCCTTCCTTTTTTAAAACTCGGCTTTGCAGACTGTAAATACAATAATGGCTGTAAGCATTCGTTTGGTGGTCGCTTACTGACGTTTGGTAGTCCATTCCCGATAATTGGTAGTCAGAACTATAACTAAACGGCATATGCTCATGTATTTTACCTGATTATTTCTAAAACTCGGCTTTTTCGATTACATATAATATATAGGCTAGCTGTATTCCAAAATAAAATTTATTTATTATATAATTTTAATTAAAAAATAAAATTTAATAATATAATATATATATAAAAGTGTGTAACAAAAAATAAAATTTTTATGACATTTATAAAAGTATTGTGTGTGCGTGCGTGCGTGTGTGTGCGTGTGCGTGTGCGTGCGCGTGTGCGTGCGTGTGCGTGTGCGTGCGTGTGTGCGCGTGCGTGTACGTGTGCGTGTGCGCGCGTGTATGTGTGTGGGTGTGTAATATTTATCATGACGAACTTATTATATATATTGCTGCATGTGGTTCTATCTTTTCTTCTTCATTACAGTATTGCTTGGACTTCATTAAATCATTATATATTCTCCATGTGCCGTATATTCTTCTGGTATACGCTATGTAATGTTGACTAGTATATGCGATTACACCAGCTAATCTAAAAATTCAGAATGGCTAACCTTTTTCGCCAATTTGAGACTCCTTCAACTAATAAATCATTACCAATCATTTGTTTTTAAAAACGAAGTTGTCGTTTTATTTTCTCATGTGGAATTGTCGATGTATCCTTTGTAACACACCGCATAATCAAGTCTTCTCCTCTCTTAGGTTCTGTATCTACATAAGCGGTAAAAGGAGATCCACAGGTTTTACTTTTGCATTTTCCATTAATTATAATAAAATGAGAACGTTTATCAGAAAAGAAAACTTTTACTCTTTTAAATACATATGCACATGGTAATCTAAATTGACGCCAGAATTCATCGCTAATAACATCACTCCAAGCACCAGGCTTAAGGCAACCATATCTTTTGTCCTTATATTCTATGTATTCAGCTTTTATTTCAGTCCAGAGTTCATATGTTATATAAAGATTAAATGTGTTTAAATTATGATTCTCTTCAAAAATATCCAAAGAAGTATTTGATTGTTCAGTAGTATCTAAGGAGGACGTTGTATCATTTTTGCATTTTTCAAGATTGTTTTCTTCAATATTTAAGTTTAATTTCATTTGAGTTACAATTCCTCGTCTGTTTTCTCGCACATTTATATAGACACTATGTGGATTCCATTTATTTTTCAAAGCGTCACTAATATCCTGCCATATTTTGGAAGTGTATGGTGGTAAATTCTTATCTTTTAAAAGAGCATCACTAAACATTTCAAGAGCTGCTACAGCTTCGTTTACTGGTACAGCAGAAATACGTGGCATCTGTAAAAGGTTAAAAGCTGGATTTACAAAATATAATGAACAAGTGTTATTCAAAATTTAGATCAGAACGAGAATCTTATGTAAAAATAGGAAAATTCTAAAAA